GAGGAGATAGGAAAAGATCGTCATTTTAAGAATATCCTGATTGCTAAACAAATTCTCTTTGTCAATACCATTGGAAACGTAAAGAAAACAGTGTGGGGAATATCAATACTGTGGTCAAGGTGTTGGGGATTAAATGAATTCATGTATTGCCTGTCTCACCTAAAGAGAGAAGAACATGGAGCTTGGTATCCTTAGCTCTTTTATGAGCCTCTGCGTGCAACTCACAGAGGTAAACCGAGCATTCTCGACACCGTAAATCAGCCGGTGATTCGTCCACACTGTAGTCACAAACATCACACTGGATGGCTTCTCCTTCTTGTATCCGTAGTAAGTCGAGCAGCGACACCAGGAGCGAGTTGGCGGGAAGTTTCCTCACAGAGTTGCGACTGTCCAGCCCTGATTCAAAATGACACGAAGGGCACTTAAACAGCTTGTCCTTCAGTGGTCGGTTTCGGAGCAAGTTTTCAATGCACAGACAGCAAAACGTATGCAGGCATGGAAGTATTTTTGGATCCACAAATAACTTGTCACACACTTGACACGTTAGGTTTGTCTTGATGCTGCAAACAACCTCTTCTTGATCAAGAGTGTTCGCCTCTTTGCCATCACTCATTTTGCATTAAAACTGTGCAAGCTATGATCACTTTTATCAATGCACGCGGAAACCAATTTTTCGTCAAGGGAAAAAGCCGCAAAAAGCGATCTAAACAGGCTGGATTATTCAACGTCTTTCTTTACATAACGTGAACCATAGGATTGTCCAAACAATTCAGAGTTCGCTGCGATGCCAACAGAAAGCAAACACGAGGTAATATTTCTGACTGACAAACGAGTTAATTTACTCGTAATCCATTCAGCGAGCACTTGATCTCTGTATACACGAAAGTCAACACGAAGCCGTCATTTCAGCCAAACCAACGACCTCTTCTTTTCAGTCGGCGAAACTCGCAGATGATTTGTTCGAGACTGTGCGAGTAGTTGATATATCTTACTGTTCAGCGTGTGCCGGCAGGAGAACTTAAAAACAACAACAAACAATAACTACAGGTATTCAAATTGAGTAATTTAGTCACCGAAGTGATAGAAAACAATGGAAATTGCTTTTGTAATTGGTGATCATACTGTCACCCAAGGGATTTTGGAAGCTTTATCTTGTGAAAGCAAGACGCTGACTTAAATGCATCAAATTCTTTGTTTTCAGCTTCATTAACTTATCGCCTATGCCAGCGTTTCCGTTTGTAGTACCTTCGGAAACAACGCTTTTTTATTCGCTTTCATGGATGGCCCGCACCACAAAACCGAAAATATAAATCGAGACTTTTTTAAAAAGGCTGCAAGGGTAACTGTTTTAAAATGCATCGATTGAAAAGTGCAAAGTAGTAAAGGTTTCTGAAGAAACTTTTCAACTGTGTCGGTGGCGAGCGAACTCTGCTGTGTTTTCATTTTAACAGGAATATATTTTGATGCAATTTTACCTATCGTCCACAAAACGTTTATGAAAGCGACAGTCAGCATGGGGCATTTTTCGTCAACGTTTTCAAAAGCTTTCGCATTAAATTCGGGTCTGGGCAAGAAACGCGGCGTTTCCAATTAAAACGATATGCTTTACCATAAAACTTTCCATTTTTGAAACCGAAATGATCTGTTTCCGTCAGCCTTCTGGACACTTTAGTACGAATGGTAGGAAGAAAATTGTATATTAAAAAAAATGTGTGTTGTGGAACGTAAACGCAATAGCAAGGCTGGAGATAAATTTGGGGAGGCGAAAACTGCTGGATATTACATGTAAAGCGTCTCGTGTTGTTGCTTCCATCAGCATTTGGATCGGACAGCCGACCACGCATCAAAATGGATGCGTTTTCAAATGTAAACGGATAAGCGTGGATTGATGAGAGGACGCCAAAAACGCCCGGCCGGTGTGGAAGAAAATAATTAGTCAAATAATCTTTATGCGTCAAACATCAAAACCTAACTTCTATACGTGACATGCTGACATACACTTAAGGATCACACACGTCATTTCTACACACATATCTTTTTAAGCTACGACATAAAATTTTGCCCAAGAATTTCTGCTATAGGAAAATACCAGACTTTGATAGCCGGAAAGGAAATGCGAGAATCCGAGACCGGAATAGAATACAGTACGAGTGTGACACTCATTGATGAGTCTGAACATTTGGCAGGGGCATACATTTTTTTCTGATCATTCCCCACTCCTTCCCATGTTTCCCGAAATCCATTTTTCCAAGTTCCTGTTGTTCCCAGAAATCCATTTTTTTCCAAGTTCCCATTGTTCCCAGAAATTTTCTTTATCGGATCCTCGATTTTCACTAAGATTACCCTATCAAATATTTCTGGCAAACTCCATGTATAAATTATTACTTCCTCTTAGCGGCAATTTAAATCAAAAGCTAGACGCTTTCTTTCGTCTATATACTTTGAAATATTAGGGATTTTCATATTCACCAAGAAGATAATTAAAGGATGCTTTTTCTGCAAATAAGCAAACAAAATTGTTTTTTTTGTCAATGAGAAAAAATGCTCCGTGCTACGTCGGTGGGCAAGTGCAACATCCACTAGCAGTTTATAAAGTGCTCTGCCACTCAAAACGTCAAAATTTGTCGTGGTGATATTAATTTATGTTGAAATTCCTTCCATTTCTTCGCAAAATGAGTAGAGTAACAATTATTCCTATAAAATAATAAACACGGTTTGAATAAATTATTTTACAAGTGAAAAAATATTGTATTTTTCCATGTGTGTTTGATAAAACTAATCACGTCACTCGCCTTTCACGCGACTCGGCCAGATTGATGAATAAACTGCGAGAGGTTCACTAAAGTTCACCTCATCCGAGGTCGTTTGTCGGAATTTTTTTGGATTATGGTTGCTAAAACACTAAAAATCCCTTTTACTTTCAAACAGTGACGTTCAAACTTTTCCAGATGGGGATGAAAACGAAAATAAGGAAAGAAATACGAAAGTTACTAATCTAGTGGCTTTGGTAATGCAATTTCTCGCGGCTGAGAACGAAAATCGACAACTGAAAGATTTGCCACAGGCCGTTTTTGGCCGTGTACTTGAAAGAGTTCTTTTATTCTTTACTTCCTTTTTTTGCCGGAAGCCATTTGCTACTACGCGCTTTGATTACCAAATCAACGAAGTGCACTTTAAACTTTCATATGCGTGAAGTAAAATAACATCAAACAGGGATAAAATCAGACTCTAATTACAATGATTTATTCATAAATAAATGTGCTGTTGTCATGATTTTCAATTAGTCTTACCAACGGAAGAATTAATACCAAAAACTGGTTATGGGTTTACGTGTGCAATAACACGGAACAATTTATAAAATCATCACCTTTTGCTGACGTACATCAGGTCTCAATCGAGACTGTCTATTTTTCCTCTATTCAAAAGTACATGTGACGTGTATTGAACTGAAAGCTGCTGATTCAGCGACGCACTTTAAGCTGAATACTTCCCTAACAATTAAAATAAAATGTATTTGCTTGTGAAATTAAGTCTTTGGGGAATTACATGGAAAGCTTCTCCAGAAATCCTGACATAGCAACATAACTTGATGGTGACATTATATTGGCTGCTGACTTTGCTTTATACATAAAAAATTAACGCCCCTGATTGCACCACCGTTTAATCTGCACGTTTTGACGCCGGAAATTCGTCAACATCGACAGTTGAATAGGCTAACCATAGCACGTTTCATTTCTCTGAAGTCTCCCTGCACTTAACCTTTTGTCCAGTTACTAGAGATGAATTAACAATACAGGCAAATTCCTCATATAATCCAATACATTTTCAACAAGTTGGGTAGTGAGTTTTTAGAAACTGAGCGACGCGGTTCTATTCTGCATCGATATAAGACATATTCGGAAATACGGAAGTGACGTTGAAAGAGGAATTTTTAAACGGCTCTAAAAAGTGAAAGGGTCAGAAAGGTTTATAAGCATCCAGCAGCTACGCTTGAATCAGTTCAGTTGAGTTTGACGTTCAGAAGAGCAACTTCGACTAATCATCTTCGATGGCAGTTTTGGTGAAAACTTGTTGCTGTGGCTGCAGCCTCCGTAAAGGTGTTATGATTCTCGGAATCTTTGGCCTGGTAAGTCCCAGCAGTTATTAAACATATAACCATCTGAAATATTCGTCTCATTTTCATACCTTAGTAGTGGTAGTACTTGATTTAACGATTTTCGCTATTTCGTACAAATCGCGAACTTTAAGTTTCGGGAAAAGTATACCTAGAGCAAAGATTAACCAGGTGGAATTTTGTTACGTCGCGTTGAATAATGACACGAATGTTAGTGCATCATTTCCAAAACGTTTTTCTCTGGTCAATAACGACGATATTGCTACCAGTAAAATGTCGTAGAAAATAAATTGTCAACGTCAACGCAGAGACATATGCGCATCCTGAAACTTCTGGACGACTGAGCAACTCAGTGCAAACTTCATAACTTGATTCGGTCAAAAA